ACAAATCAAAATAAAAAATCACACTTACCTGTGGGAAATATTTTTTTGATCTATTTTCATATTTAGGGGGTGAAACAAAAGTAGTTTTTTTCCTCGTTTCACCCCCATTTTAAATTTTCATATTTAGGGGTTGAAACGAGGAAAGAAACTATTTTTATTTCACCCCCTAAATATGAAAACAGATCAAAATAAAAAATCACACTTACCTGTGTGAAATATTCTTTTTATCTGTTTTCATATTTAAGGGATGAAATGAGGAACAAATACTATTTTTAAAATTCATAAGAAATGCATTCTTTGTCATTATATTTGTAGATATCCTAGAATGTTAAAAAGAATACATTTCACACTAATACCTGTGACTTGTTGCTTTCATCTATTTCCATATTTGGGGGATGAAATGAGGGGATGAACATTCTAGAATAGAATATAAATGGTATGAATAGAACCTACAAATATACTGACTATACTACACTTCTTAATCAGTTTCAAAAATAGTTTCTATTTCTCATTCCACCCCCTAAATATGAAAACAAATCAAAATCAAAAATCACACCTATATTTGTTTTTTTTTTTTTTTAGAACATTCTAATATACCTAGAAATATAATGAGACATCATTCGTCTCCTATCGAAGTCGAGGGAGATTTCGGTTCGAAGGGGTCGTTTCGATTCGTCTTGCTCCTCCTCCCCGTAGGCCACGCTATAATCTTTCGTAAACGCAACCACGCAGCGAAATCGTACGATTCCGCAGATTTGTGGTAATTTCGGTTGGTTTCCGTGTTTGAGCAAGTTCGCGTAGGATTTGGTATTTTCTTGATCGAAAGCCGGGCTCGGCCGAGAGCGTTTCGCTCCCTTGGTGTGTACCCGGCGAACCGCGGCCAATTAGCCGGAAGCGCATTCAGACCATTAACTCGAAATGAATTCGCGTTTAGGGTTTGCTTCAGCGCGGAGGGTCGATCGGCAAACCGATTGGCAAATTCGATTTCTGGGGCGCTCGACCGTGGATTATTAAACTTATCGATCTAGCGGCCGACGCTGCCACGGGACGGGACGGGACGTTACGCTGTTCCTCGACCGGAAGTTGGTCGCAACGAACTTACGGATCCGCCTCTGTAACGAATAAACTCTGCCCTTGTTTCTTTACTTCCACTCTACCGGAAACAGGAACACGGTTTATACACGACAGGTCCGCCATTTTGGACGATTTGATTCTTAAATTTCTCCCAAAATGGCGGATTTAGATTTATTTTGTTGTCTCGATCCTTAAATATAATAATTCGTATTGTATTTTGACTATTCAAGTATTCTGATGTTACTTGAAGATTTTAATTTCTCATAAATGCATAAATAATTTTTGTTTATTATTTACTATAATTATACCTAATGCAACGATTTTTATAAATCGAATCCGCCTCTGCAACGAATAAACTCTGCCTTTCCATTCTACAGAAACAGAAACACGATTTATACAGGTTTGGTCCGCCATTTTGGACGATTCGATTCCTTAAATTCCTTCCAAAATGGCGGATTCAGACTTATTTTGTTGACTCGACCCTTAAATATAATAATTCGTATTTTATTTTGCCTATTTATTCAAGTATTCTGAAGGTTTTTGGGAATTTAAATTTCTCATAAATGCATAAGTATCCCCTGTTTACTAATTAATATAATTATACCTAATGCAACGATTTTTATAAATCGAATCCGCCTCTGTAACAAATAAACTCTGCCTTTCCACTCTGTGGAAACTGGAACACGGTTTATACAAGTTTGGTCCGCCATTTTGAACGATTCGATTCCTTAAATTCCTTCCAAAATGGCGGATTTAGACTTATTTTCTTGTCTCGACTCTCAAATATAATAAATCGTATTTTATTTTGACTATTCAAGTACATATTCTGAAGTTTCTTGAAAATTTAAATTTCTCATAAATGCATAAATATTTTTTGTTTACTAATTAATATAATTACACCCAATGCAACGGTTTTTATAAATCTGTAACGTGTTTAAGAGATTTCCAGTACGAGCTTTGCTGGTATATTGCGTAGAATTTCTATTTGCAGGATAAATAAAGTTTTGGATGGGTGAATAAATATTTATTCATTACTTAAAGTTGTTAGGCAGTGACTAATTATTTAATTTAATTAAGCCAATTATTGTACCTACTAAAATACCGATTTAATTTGTAAGAAGCCAATTAAGTTAATATATCCGCCACATGTAATATTACGTACAGTCTTTTACCCGCGAAAATTTGAATTGGCGATAGCAAAACGATATTATTACAGTTATGGATTCCGTCGAGGGGACAATCGATAACCGCCAGTAAAAAGCTACTCGTTCTCCGGTATCCCTTAATTGTTTTCCGCGTTTAGGGTCGACCCGGGACACCGTGTATGGTCGTGCAGAAAATAATGGAAGGTTCCGCGTAAACGATAAAGTCACAGTCACAATCACGGTGAATAATGAAAGCGTCGGACGAGTGGGAATCAACGGTGCGCATTTCCAGCCGCGCTCTCGATCTCGAATTCAATCGACGCGCTATTTGCAATTATTCATGGTCGGGCTAGTGCAAAAAGAAAACCGAATAAATAGAGAAGAGGGGAAAAGAACGGGCGAAAACGCGTCGACGAGACACGCGGACGACTCGCGGCAATATTTCCGCCGCGTTCGACGACGATTCTTATCAATTTTCCAGAATTATTTGTTAAAAAGAATGGTTACTACATTATTATTCTATTTCAGAGTCACATTTGTGTTTCTTCATTATTTTTGCGTATGAAAACCTGATGACTGAAATTGAGGTTAGTTTACTGTTTTCTTTGGTTATTTTTTGGTACGTAATTGAGGTTATGATGCGAGACAGCCTCAACGAGACACGCAGACGACTCGTGGCGATTTTTCTACCGCGTTCGATGACGATTCTTATCAATTTTCCAGAATTATTTGTTAAAAAGAATCGTTACTATATTATTATAGTATTTTTACAATTAAATTTGTATCCACGAACGACTACAATAGTGTTTCATCAGTATTTCTGTACATGAAAACCCGATTACTGAAATTGAGGTTAGTTTGATGTGTTCTTTGAGTATTTTTTGGTAAATAATTGAGGTTATGTCTTCAGATAATTTAGTGAACTTTTTGTGGGAGGAATTTGGTAGTCAAATTAAATGAGCCTCTTTCTGTTTAACAAATTAACGTATATATTTTTCACAATGTTCTCTCCACGAGTGCATCACACTCTCTCTATACATGGGACTTCCGCGCGTTCCACTCTCGCGCCCCAGGGTTGCCAACATCCACACTCATTCATTCCCCACTCACTCGTCAGGCATACCACACAATAAAAATAACCCCACACTTTTATCTCCTGAATTATTTAGGGCATGAATACTTTAATACTTGTGAATATTAAAAAGCTGCATTGAATGGTGCAATCCAAGTTATAGAGTTTTACTTTAAATAATAGATACAGTTTTTTAAAAAGAAATAAAATTGTATTTAACCTGTGCATTTAGTTTTGGCTCACAAGATTTTTTATTAACGTTGTTTCAAATGAAATTTGATTGCTCTGACTCTCAATATTTCCCAATATTTTTAGAAATTAGTAAAATTGTTCTCAACTTATGCACATAAATCTTCTTCATAAGTTTTTATTAGTGTTGATTTAAATGAAATTTCACTGCTCTGACTCTTAATATTTGACAATGGTTTTAGAAATGAATAAAATTGTGCTCAGCTTGTGCATTTAACTTTTCCTCATTAAATTTTTTATTAGCATTTGTTCAAATGAAATTTCATTGTACCGACTCTCAACATTTTCCAACGTTTTTAGAAATAAATTAAATTGTACTCAGCTTGTGCATTTAATTTTTCCTCATAAGGATTTTTATTAGCATTCAAATGTCACTACTTCCAATATTTTCTGAAAAATTCTTTATGTGTTTCTAAAGCTTTTTGTGATTCTATTAAGAATTCTTAGAAAGTATTAGTTTAGAACCATATTTGCAAGTCCTAAAAGTTGAAATTAGTGTAATCAAAATTATATAGTTTCACTTTAAAAGAAGAATACAATTTTTAAAAATAAATAATATTGTATTCAGCTCCTGCATTTAACTTTTTCTTATAAGATTTTCTATTAGTGTTAGTTCAGGTCAATTATCACTATTTTGACTTCTCAATATATTCTGAACCAATTCTTTATGTGTTTCTGTAGGTTTTTGTGATTCTATTAACACTTTACCGACCGGTAGCGGTTGATTAATCGGCTATCGGTCGGTAAGCGTTGGTCGGTAAAAAAGTTTATTAATACGCTATCGGTCGGTAAGTGTTGGCCGGTAAAAAAGTCGATTAATAGGCTATCGGTCGGTAATGTGTTAAGAATTCTTTGAAACTATTAATTTAAGGTCACATTTGCAAGTCCTAAAACTTGAAATTAGTGTTATCAAAATTATATAGTTTCACTTTAAAAGAAGAATGCAATTTTTAGAAATGAATAAAATTATATACAGTTTATGCCTTTAACTTTTCCTCATTGCAATGTTTTATTAGTATCAAATCAAGTGAATTGTCACTACTTTGACCTCACAATATTATTCCCAGAACCAATTTTTGATCTGTTCCCAAACTTATTAATTTAGAACCATATTTGCAAACCCTGATACTTGAAATTAGTGCAATCAATATTACAAAATTTCACTTTAATTAATTTTATTCATTTTTAAAAATTGTATGTGCATTTAACTTTACTTGATACAATGTTTTATTGGTATCAAATCAAGTGAATTGTCACTACTTTGACCTACCAAAATATTATTCCCAGAAACAATTTTTGATGTGTTCCCAAACCTATTAATTCAGGACCACGTATGCAAGTCCTGAAACACAAAGTCAATAAAAAATCGTGAAAAAAGATTACAACGTTTGATAGTGTAAATAGAAATCCTTTTAACGACTTTGGACGCCATTTCTCATATCCGCGTGCAATTTTTGCAGAGATTCCGGGCAGATCGAGGAGGCATTGTCCGCGCGGGCCGATAATGTCGGAACCGGGATGCAACTTGGTTTCTGAAGCAATCACCGGAGAGAACGGAAATACTTTGTCGACCGGAAAATGCGTTTGCGGACCGTCGGTGCCTTGGTGTCCGGACGAGCCACGGCCTTACGTTTACGCGACGCGACACGAGTGCAAGCTCAATTTGGCCGCCAAAACCGGTTACGGTAAGTTCCCCGTCATTTTTCACACACCGTTTATTCCACGCTTTCGATCGACTGCGAATCGAAAAAAACACCAGACGAAATAGGAAATTACTTTTCGCGATATTATCGTTGCTTTTCCGATTCCCACGTATTTGTTCGATACCGTGTTCATATTAAACCCAGAATTTCTCCACAATTTTTAGGTTAGAAAATTTACGAAAACGCGATACAAAATTTTTTAGGTTAGAAAGTTCACAGAAACACGATTCATGTGTCGTTTTTCATTGTTTTAAAATATTTGAATATTCTTTGGAGAGATTATTGTTAATTTTATCAATAATATAATTTAGTTCGTAATATAATAGGTTACTAATGCTAAATTCTCGAAGATTAGTTCAAAATATAGTGATTTCGACGATTCCTACGTTCGATTCCGTGTTCATATTAAACCCAGAGTTTCTCCACATTTTTTAGGTTAGAAAATTTACGAAAACGCGATATCAAATTTTTTAGGTTAGAAAGTTCACAGAAACACGATTCATGTGTCGTTTTTCGTTGTTTTAGAATATTTGAATATTCTTTGGAGGGATTATTGTTAATTTTATCAATAATATAATTTAGTTTGTAATAAAATAGATTACCAACGCTAGATTCTCGAAGGTTAGTTCAAAATATAATGTAATAAATAGTAAATATTCGATTATACAATGTTGTAACAATTTATTTATTATCCTATTCTCAATGACAGTATTTATAATTTTACTTAAAAAATGCTCGTTTATGAATTTTGATTTATGTATATTTTGTTAATAAATTTTATTTGTGTAACAATTTATTTATTATTGTATTCTCAATGACAGTATTTATAATTTTACTTAAAAAAAGGTAATGTATGAATTTTGATTTGTGTACATTTTTTTCAAATAAATCCGAAATTTTTACTCGTGTAACAATTTATTTTTATTATTACATTCATAATGACAGTATTTATAATTTTACTTAGAAAATGTTCGTTTATGAATTTTGATTTATGTATATTTTGTTAATAAATTTTATTTGTGTATCAATTTATTTATTATTGTATTCTCAATGACAGTATTTATAATTTTACTTAAAAAAAGGTAATGTATGAATTTTGATTTGTGTACATTTTTTCTAATAAATCCGAAATTTTTATTCGTGTAACAATTTATTTATTATTACATTCATAATGACAGTATTTATAATTTTATTTAGAAAATGCTCGTTTATGAATTCTGATTTATTTTTCTCCGAATGAGTTTGAAATTTTTATTCGTCAATCTCGAATAATGTTGGCCAGCCCTGTGGCTGATGCTGAGGTTGGCAGGACTGCTGATCAGCAATTCCGTGATTCGTGGTTTCGAATCCCCCGTACCTCTCTTTTTCCACGATTCCTACATATATGAATTCATATATAATCATATATGCATGAGGTGACGTATACGGTTAGATATTATCTTATAGAATCGTGGGCGATAATACAAGTTCATGTACGATATTGTCGCACGCGTATGGTCAGTCGTGGTCATTGCGTGTATGACATCAGATATGGCACCTTATGACTCATATAATGCGAACCAGATTAGTATCTATTCGAATATGATCGCACACGTTTCGTGTCTATTCGTTTATAATCCTTTTCTCAGGAATTTCTTTCTAAACTTGGTCGACTAATATTTTGTAAATTTTGAAATATTGTTAATTATTTCAAATTTGAGGTTATGGTCCAACTAAAAATAAATAAAATCTTGTCCTTTCTCTCTTCAGATTTCTTCCTAAAATTGGTCGACTAATATTTTGTAAATTTTGAAAAATTGTTACTTATTTCAAATTTGAGGTTATGGTCCAACTAAAAATAAATAAAATATTTTCCTTTCCCTCCTTATATTTCTTTATAAAATTGGTCGACTCGTATGTCTATAAATTTTTGAAAATTGTTAATTATTTCAAATTTGAGGTTATGGTTCAACTAAAAATAAATAAAATATTTTCCTTTCCCTCGTCAGATTTCTTCCTAAAATTGGTCAATTAATATTTTGTAAATTTTGAAATATTGTTAATTATTTCAAATTTGAGGTTAAATATATTATATTTAATTTTTATATTATTAAAATTGTAACTTGACAAATAGAAGTATTCTTAATGTCACTACTAGTATTATCAAATAATTTACAAGTATTAGAATTCATTTTTGCAAGAGTTTTAAATACATTCATAATTTTAATGGCGCGAAATTTAAAAAACAAAATAAAGAAAACGAGAAAAATTGCATTGCTAACAAACATATTACAAATATTAGAAATCTAAAAATTACAATACACTAAAATTCGCACTTTATATTTTAGAGATATATTTTATTAACATAAAATTTTTGTTGATGAATATTGCAAATAAATCTGAAACACTGAATAATTTTTTAAAATTGTAATTTGACAAATAGAAGTGTTCCTAGTGACACTATTATCATTATCAAATGATTTCCAAGTATTAAAATTCATTTATTGTAAGAGTTTTAAATACATTCATAATTTTAATGGCGCGAAATTTGAAAACCAAAATAAAGAATACGAGAAGAATTGCATTGCTACAAATATTAGAAATCTAAAAAATACAATACACTAAAATTCTCATTTTATATTTTAAAGAATTATTTTATTAACATAAAATTTTTGTTGATGAATATTGCAAATAAATTTGAGAGACTGATAATTTTTTAAAGTTCTAACTTGACAAATAGCAGTGTTCCCAAAGTCACTATTATCATTATCAAAAAATTTCCAACTATCAAAACTCATTTATTGCCAACCATTTAAACACATTCATAATTTTAATGGCGCGAAATTTGAAAACCAAAATAAAGAATACGAGAAAAATTGCATTGCTAACAAACATGATACAAATATTAGAATTCTAGAAAATACAATATACTACAATTCTCGTTTTATGTTTTAAAAAATGATTTTATTAACATAAAATTTTTGTCGATGAATATTGCAAATAAGTCTGAAATACTGAATAATTTTTTAAAAATGTAATTTGACAAATAGAAGTGTTCCTAATGTCACTGTTATCAGTATCAAAAAATTTCCAACTATCAAATCTCATTTATTGCCAACCTTCTAAACACACTCGTAATTTAAATGGCGCCAAAATTCAAAACCAAATAAAGAAAACAAGAAAAATGTCACTACAAACATAACACAAACATCGAAGCTTTAAAAACTATTACATTCTCGTTTACAATTTGGAAAAAAAAATATCATCAACATAAAATTTATATCAATATTTATTGCAAATAAATTGACAATAGAAACGGTACGAAAATAATGGTCCTCTTTCCGAAATTGTGCCCAGCGAACAATTCAATGCAGTCCAAAAAAAAAAAAAAGAAAAAATTGCCTCCCCCTTTGGGGTGGGAGTAGATCGATATTTCGTGATAGAAAAAAAAAAGAATTTTGAATATCCGACTGAAACGTAATCTCGCGTATGGCCAGGCCGCTGTTCCGCGCGGCGATGTTTGCATTACACGCGGATATCGGAGAGAATAAACAGGGATTGTCGAACAAATCCACTGCATTTGTACCCGGTTTTCCATTCCTTTTTAATAACGGCCGTGCGCCATTACAAATTGGCAATCCTGGATTTTCGTCGACGGTTTCGAATCGTTGTTTCCCCCGTCGTCGTCCACGGTGATTGAAATATCGCGCGACTGTTTAATTATTTAATTGTCTCGCGTCCATTCTCGCGTGAACATCGGCGTGTCGGCGACAAAGGAGCGCGAAAAGGGGCGCAGAAGGCTGAAATAACGAAAACTGTCCCGCGGTCGGCCCGTTAATGAAAAGAAAACATAAATAGTAGCGAAAGGAGGGAACAATGGTGACTAAGAAAAAACGAAAGGTCGTGAAGGGTTGGACGGCCGGGCGTTAATGAGAAAAAGACACAACTGCGGGGGCGACGTCTCTCCGCGATTCTTTGTTTCTGATTAAAGCCGCCAAAAATAACTGCGACGGGAAAAGGGTGATACAGACACGTTTTAAGCGAGAAATCCAACTGTGTCGAAGGAAAATGTAATTGGGGAAATCCGAAGAATATTGGAATTAATTTGTAATAATAAATCATTTAAAATTAGTAAATGTATGTATAATGAATTTTTAATAGTAAATATAACTTTAATGAATGTTTAATGTAGTTATTTTTGAAACCTTCTGGACTTTGGACATATTTTTAACATCTTTTCCTGTAAATATAGTATTTTAAAACATATTTTTCAAATAATATTTGCTTCCACAGTCTTATTTCAATCTAATAAATCACGAGTCGAGCCATTTACGCGATACAAGTTGTCAGCCATCTTGGAATCTTTCTAGTATCTTAAAACTAACGTTTAGTGAGTTTCAGAGCATTTAATTCAAGATCTTTCTATTATTTTAGATTTGTTCCTATAAATATAGTAATTTCCATCATAATTTTCGAATCATACTTGCCCCTATAGCCATATTTTAATATAATAAATCACGAGTCGAGCCATTTACGTCGTATGAGTTGTCAGCCATCTTGGAATCTTTCTAGTTCCTTAAAACTATTCTTTCGTCAGTTTCAGAGCATTAATATAAATATGAGTTGTCGAAGGAAAAAGTAATTGGGGAAATTCGAAGAATATTGGAATTAATTTGCAATAATAAATCATTTAAAATTAGTAAAAGTAGGTATAATGAATTTTTAATAGTAAATGTAACTTTAATGAATTTTTATTGTAGTTATTTTATCGACATTTTCTGGACTTTGGAAATATTTTTAATGATTTTGGTTTAAAGAATGTACACTTTTTTTATTGAGGTCTTCATCTTCCATATTAGATTCATAGTGATCGTAATATGGAGTACTATATTTATATGTATTTATATATTAATGTAAATATGAGTTGTCAGCTTTCAAAAGTCATCCAAATTTATATTATATGTTGACATGAATATGAGTTCTCGCGATATGAGTTGTCAGCC